TTCTTTTATATGTTTATATGTATCGCTAGATATCAGTGGCTGCTTGTATCGAGCCTTTGATAAGAGTCGTATAAAAAAAACTTACATAATAATTTGACTTATGGTAAATTTAGGTTCTGCGGCAACAGTTCCAAGGATTCGAGCTCTTCTTCGTGGGTACATAAACAGTGATTCTAACAAAGGTATAGTAATTCTAGTTATTACACCCGGTTAAGAGCGTTCTTAATACGAAGCTGATATTTCGTGGTAAAGAAGTGCGTAAACACTAGCGTACTAACAGGGTCATGCCCTTCATTACTTATGACATCGCTTTTTCTGGTACCATGAGTTTTATTACAGGTTTGAGTTTTTTTGACTTAGTTCTTTACTCAGGTTATTATTAAACATCCCTTTGTGATGAGAGTACTATGTGTTCAATTTTGCATTTTACGAAAATTTTGATGTATGACGTCATTAAATAGCAGAAAACACGGTCAAGGTCAAATTTTTCAGTTATGAAATGCCTCCCCAACGAAATCCCCTGGTACAAAACTGTAAATACTTGCAGCAAAAAGCATTCAGTTTACTAGTTTGCTGTTTTAGTCATTTAAAAAATTTCAGACATTAAAATTGGCTATATTGAAGTTGAATTAGCACAAATATCACAACAGTATTTTCCTAAAATCAACATTAGACTCGAAATACAATACATGCTATTATACCAAACAGATTTATGTAGTTAAAAATACAACAGTTAATCAGCCTGGGTATGCTGTTGTTTTAATTAATTTAGATAAAACAAAATGTGTAGAACATATACGCACCCTAACCTATAGTCGGGACGCAGTAGTACATAACAAATTTTGTATGAGTTAAAATCGTATTATGCAAAAATATGCCAGTATTTTTACAATCATTACATAAACAGATTTAGGAAACATTATCACGTTTTTTACATAGAAGCTAGAATTAATCATAAAAGTGAGAGTATTTGTCTATTTGACACGCGATATCGCAGCAGAATAGTACGGCACAATATTGTAATATGAAATACACCGAACCGCGGTTTTCTCTTACATGCCCAAGTTATACAAAACAAAAAATAAACATTAAATATCGGAAGAAATGAACTTTTATGCAACCTAACTGCCGGCTACTTACCATGACGTTAGAATAGTGCAAATAGATGTTTTCCCGACCATTAACTATATATATACCCTTCCTTTACTTTGCTATAGCGCATTTCGGATGCAAGCCTTTGTAGTATAAATATTTTTGCGAATTGGCGTGTACAAGTTTGTCTGCAGCTCCCAATACAATTTTGTTTAAAAATTCTCAAATTGCTGCAAACAACAAATACTCGCAGCTGAATTGATCAGCAAAGTCTTTCGCGATATTTTCCGGGAGATGATTAGACTTAGAGTATAACTTGAATTCTCCTTCAAACAAAATGGCGGCTGAGAACTACGAGAACGAATCAACTTGTACAAACATGACTGAAATCTGTACAGGTCCTGTTATGAATTAGCATTGTTACGTCACCGTAAACTTGTCGATAACTGGCCATGGTCATGGTAGAAAATAAGAAAGTTGATGTTCGGGGATGAGAGGTGGCGTCGAGAAATATTTACAATCTACTCCGACTTCACACATTCGCTTTGACTCAATAGCGACACCGCGTGTCCCATCACTAATTAATTAATACCTCGCTAATTATACGACATATTTCATCGAATCAATAAGCTTTTGGTCCGAGATATGATAAATGCGCATGCAAAATTTGGAGCAGATTTAACCTCAATTTCGTGAGATATCGCATGTATCCAACAGACAGACAAATACCTGTCAACATACTTACCGATCAAGATCGATGAGTAATAACTTGCCTGGTATCACGGCATAATTACCAGATCCGGTTTATTAGATTATATCAATGTCGGCGGAGTGTTCAGAGCATTCCATAATCAGCCTTTGTGTGGAAGAAGACATGTTTATCGTGGAGAGCAGCTGAGCAAGGTAACTGGTCCCAGACCTGTGGCGATCAAATTTCTCGATGTCAACAAACGTAACCTGCAGGAGGCCAAAGTTCTTCAGAGTCTGGCTTTTCATCCAAATATTGTTTCCATTATCCATTCCGACGTGTATGACGTGCATTCGTTCACTCAAAGAATGTTTATTGTAATGGAACTTTGTCACGAGGAAAATCTCACTGACTTCCTGAAAAATAGAGCGAAAATACGCGTCCAATTCGACGACAGCCTGGCCATATCGTTTGCGCAGCAATTGTTTTGCGGTTTGCAATTTATCCATCCAAACGGCGTCATCCACCGCGATCTGAAGCCTGATAACATCTTGATGTCGCTTGATAAAAATGCCCTTAAAATATCCGATTTCGGGCTGTCGAAAAAGCTCTGCAAAGGTCATTCCTTCACTGCCCAAAGTATCATGCGTGCTGGTACTAATGGCTACAGAGCTCCGGAAATCTATAACGACGATGTGATTTCAAAAAAATCCGATATATATTCGATGGGTTCTCGTGATATACGCGGTATGGAGCAATGGCAAACATCTATTTGGTGAAGATCCAGATGGATGGAACATGAACATCAAGAAGAACCAAGATCGTGATCTCAGCCATCTGCTCCTCAGCGACAAAACCAGAGCAATTAATTTGCTTGAGAAGATGTTGCAGTTTAGGCCGCAAAATCGACCAACGGCTGACAATCTTCTGGTCCATGAAATATTTCGAAGATTGGTGAAAGGTGATTGAAGTTTTAAGAGTTTAGCAGAAATATGCATATGCAAATATACCCCTAACCCTAACCACAAACCCAACCCTAACCCGAACCCTAATTAGATAGTTTGTCGCAATGTCGACCCCGACCCCTAATTAGATAGTTTGTCGCAATGTCGATTTTTAGTTGTTGAATTTTCGACAGTGCGACAAAAAAGGATTAGGGTTGTTATACAAATTAGATAGTTTGTCGCAATGTCGATTTTTCGGCTTCTTTTTCGGTAGCAATGTCGATTTTTCTTGTCTAAAAATTTCACAAATTTTCGTATAACTTTTGAACAACTTAAGATATCGACAAGTTGCTTTCACATATGGTAAGTATTATACCATAGCGTTGACTGATTAAATTTCACATTTTCCTGATTCATAGTTATTGAGATTTCATTCTTCGAATGTTTCAAAATTAGTCCCGATTTTTTACGCGCAACCCATATTTCAGCAAGTCGCACTGTCGAAAATTCCGTCCAAGCATATCGCAATGTCGATTTTTGGGCTTTCAAATGGTCGCACTCTCGAAAATTCGGGGATGAATCGTCGAAAACTTACCTGGTTGAAATTTCGACATTGCGACTTCGAAATTATCGACATTGCGACAATGCAAATTTGATAGTTTGTCGCAATGTCGATTTTTAGTTGTTGAATTTTCGACAGTGCGACAAAAAAGGATTGGGGTTGTTATGATAATTAGATAGTTTGTCGCAATGTCGATTTTTCGGCTCCTTTTTCGGTAGCACTGTCGATTTTTCTTGTCTAAAAATTTCACATTTTTGCGTATAACTTCTGAACAACTTAAGAACGTATCGACATGTGTAATATGCCAATGAATGCAGAATTTTGATGCCAATATATGATTCAAATATTGCTGTTTTTGCATTTGCTAAAAAAAAGTTATTAGTAGAAAACCTCAAACCCTAACGCTATCGCAATAAACTCTGTCTTAAAAAGGCCATAACTTTTGAAAAAGGACTCCATCTGTGATCAAATTGCGGTCTATGGGTTCGTAAAAAGCCCCTCTTTTAGTAGATATCAAAATTTTTAAGATTGGGGTAAAGAAAACAAAATTCCTTTTCCGAAAGTCAAATATATTCACTTATGCGAAGTAAATTATATTACCTGACTTGCAAGTAGATTATGCAAAATGCTAACTTTTGATTTCCTTGGCGCAACTGGCATCAAATTAAAGGTCTCATTAATACCAGCGCGGAAATAGTTGAGTTTTTGAAATTGGTTCAGTAGTTCAAAAGTTATAAGCAAAACAAAATTATTCGTTCAAAAATTCGAACCTCAATAACTTTTCGAATATTTGATGAAATTTAAAAGTAAAAAGGGTTTCGGGTTATTTACACCCATATCTTTCGAATAAACTAAGAATGAAATTTCTGAACATTGTAGAATTTTTTTTGCAATTTGGGGTCAAATGTCAAATGCTACATAAAAGTTGCTTTAACATATGATAAGTATCATACCATAGCGTTTCCTGATTAATTTTCACTATTCCCTGATGCATAGTTAATGAAATATTATTCTTCGAATGTTTCCAAATTAGTCCCGATTTTTTACGCGCAACCCATATTTCAGCTAGTCGCACTGTCGAAAATTCAGTCTAAGCATGTCGCAATGTCGATTTTTGGGCTTTCAAATGGTCGCACTGTCAAAAAATCGGGCATGAATCGTCGAGATGTCGATTTTTAAATGTCGCAATGTCAAATTTTCGGGTTCTTTTGAGATAGTTGAGTTTTTTTAAATTGGTCCGGTAGTTCGGAAGTTATAAGCAAAACATATAAAAGAGTAAGATTTTTTAACAAAGTCTTTGCAAGACAGGTTTAAAATAATAAAATTAAATATCAAACATGCAAATTGCAACAAGTAAACTCAATGATAATATTTAAAACGTAGTACTATAGGGAGGCGCACGCGCTCTATCACCATTTTCTTAATATTTCGAAGTGCCCAAATATGTGTCTACCGGTAACAATTTATTATTCGCTCAAACCGGATTCAGGACTCCGAAAAACATGAATCCGACAGTCAAAGACATTTATAACGCATCGCTAAAAACTTCAAAACCTGCAATGAACAATAACAATCTATCAAGTGTTTTAGCAGAATGTGAATGCAGAAATATAAAACAACACAATGAGGACCAGAATGTTGAAATGGAAACTGAATAGGCTATTCCAAATTCCATAAATTTTGCATGTTGTTCAGTTGTTAGATGCAATATATTTTTATCTACATGTGTCAAGCTTTGGTTTTAAAATTGATTTCACCTTTCACTTTCACACTTTGGGTACAATTTTTTGTTTTTTTCATATGATTTGTTTTGATGTGTTGTGTTCCTGTATGATTTGTTTTGCTGTGTTGTGTTCCTTATTCCTAGATCTTCATTTATTACTGTATTTTTTTTATTATCTATATTTTCAGTTTTTTTTTTCTTTTATTTCACACACTTTCTTACACTTACAAAACTTTTTCTGCGTTTTGCTTTGCGTGTGTAACATTTTTAATCAGGCTAACCCATTTTACCCTTTTTTGCAGTGCCTAAAAAAGTGAATAATAAAAAAAATTAGATTTATACAAAATGAATACCAATATGGAGCTTATGAAAAAACCTCAGGTATGACAAATTTAGATTTAAAAACAAAGATAACATTTGCGATTTAAACGCTAACGTTATTTTTTTTTTACAGAACATTCAGCATGATGATGATAATGATGCATCGTCGTCCAATAATTATATTCTATGTATGTCAAAATGCCCATGGTGGTATTTTGTCAAGAGAAATACTGAGAATAGTACTACTGACAGTATTGCGGTAAGTCTTATGTTTTGAATTTCAACTGCAATTTGCTAACGGTCTTTCCATATTTAAACTGTTGGTCAACAGCATTATGGACCGCATAATCACTCCGACCCAAAAATGCTCTCTTCCTAACAGAAGCATGTATGACATTCACTATAATATAGATGCAATAATTCGGCACTGCAAAATAAAGAACACCCCCGGAACAATAATATTAATTGACAACCTGAAAGCCTTCGATAAGGTTGACCACCAATTCCTATTCAATGTCTTGCAACACATCAGACTTGGTCGCTAGACTCTTAACATCATCCAAAGTATGTACTCGAATATAAAAAGTCGCATTGACGTTAATGGTCGGCTGACGACAGAAATTACCATCTGCAGCGGCATAAAACAGGGATGTCCCCAGAGTATGTTGTTCTACGCTATCGTTGTTGAGCCCGTTGCAAGATCTGTGCTTCGAAATACAAACATCCATGGAATAAAATTAGGCCGTCATGAGCACAAATTAGATCAGGATCTGGAGGATCACACAAGACTGGGCTGTATGTTGCATAACAGGTCATTGGTCATAAAATACGTCATTGGATTGGGATTAATGAATGGTCGAGAGTTTGCAAAAAAGAAAGAATAGCATTCGAACTCGGGTACTCCAGACGATTACCCATGTAAGTATATATATTATATAGCTATGGGTAAATTATTTCTGACCGTTACGCCCGTAAGCAAATTACATGGGTGCAATCAACTCAAGCTGTTATTGTGCGACGATCTATTCCTCAGTTTGGTTTTCTTATATTCATGCGGCGGAGTTGGTTTAACTAAAGCAACCGGCTGGTGCGTAACATTGTAAACATCATGTTGATAATAAATGAAGCACAACCGGTGTTAGCAAAACGATGTAATTTGCCGACGTTTCGAATTTCTATACAGAAAAACTTCATCAGGGCATGATATAGAAAGAACACAAGTGGATATATATAGAGCAAGAAAAAGAAAACAGGAAAAAATTATCATGGCGTCAACTCTAATCTAAAAGGATGATGATAAGATATAATGTATAAATAAACAAACAAAAAAATTAATTGTGACGTAATAATGGACGATTGTATGTTAATTAAGTGGATAAAGGCGTCCAAGTATCTTCGACGTAACAATATACAAACATGAGGGGATGTGATTACAATCTAAAGTTCTAAACAGATTCTAAAGGTTTACATAATTTCAATGGAATCTTACAAAGCTTTCCTATGTAGCTTTGTGCGAATAGTCTCTGGCACCAATGATGCCATAAGGAAACGAGCTGAACTATTCCAAAAATATACAGAACTGCCAAAAAGATACTTTTCAAACAAAATAGAGTTCAGACAGGCGTATATTTGAGTATATATTATATTTACATTGGTAAAATTTGATTAATCTTTTTAAATATCAAAATATTACGGTAGGCTAAGAAAATGTAACTAATCTCCACCATTTAACTACCGGACTATTATGATTACCTAACACTTGATAAAACAAGCCCGATCTTTCTTGTCATGTGGTTCGATCAATTTTCTCAAAACAGTGCCGTTTTAAAAAAAATATTTCTTGCTTGTGGCTCTGCATAGGGTATTCCCGTAGTGTGTGTACCAGGTTAAGGCGTTAGGCCATAATTTTATTGCGATTTTCGTGAATATCCCCCCGCCCATAGGTTTCAATTCCGCCCTGCAAAGATATTAGATTCACTTTCTGGTTTCCTGTCGATTTGGGGCCTTTATTATTTTTGATCTACATCAACGATCTCGCCCATTGTTCATCATTCTTCTCAAAATTATTCGCGGATGACACCAATCTCCTCGACAGCGACAAATCTCTCCCTGCTCTTCATTCAAGAGTGAACTCTGAAATAGTAAAAGTAGCTAATTGGATGAAGGCTAATAAATTATCTATAAACGTCGACAAATCCAAAACTATGCTTATTTCACCAAATAAACATAAAACTCAAACCAAATTTTCGATTGATATTGGCAACACTAGATTAGAAAATGTAAGTTCTTACAAATATTTGGGCATATTTTTGGATAGCCAATTGAAATGGGATATTCACATAATGAACTTGGCTGCTAAACTATCTAGATCGGCTGGAATACTGTACAAACTTAGGCACTTTGTACCTGTAACAACTCTCCGTATGATTTACCATTCTCTATTCCAAACCCACATTCAATATGGCATTATTGCATGGGGTTCAGCCAATAGAACTCTACTACATCAAATCGATATTATCCAAAATAGAGCCATCCGTGCTCTTTCTGGTAGTGGACGTCGCGAACAACTCAATCCAATCTACCATGAACTTCAAATTATAAAACTGACAGATATTCATAAAATAGAGGTACTGAAACTGATGCATCAACATCATAACAATAAACTCCCTGTCACATTTACTCATTATTTCTATAAGCAAAGTAATATTCATTCACATAGTACACGGTCTTCTACCCATGGTTCTTACTATGTGCATCGTTTCACCACCAAACTAACACAAAATTCAATAAAATATTTAGGTGTTAAATTATGGAACTCTTTGGCTGATAGTATTCGAAACATGAATTACGATGCATACAAACAAGCATTGAAAAAGGTATACCTAGGCGGCTATATACTTGATCCGTCAGCTTTTCAAATAATATGATTTCCTTTCCTGGCGTATTGTATATATCAGTATATAGACGTTCATATAGTCTCCGTAACGTACGGCACACTTCCGGTCTTGATGCCTCGTCCTGTTACCGGTACTGTGATGGGATATTGTTCCGTACAAATTCCGATTTACTTGAATTCTTGCTGTTACCATATACAGTTATTTTTTGTGTGATCCTACTCCACTAATAAAATGGTCCTTACGTTTCGTATCCAATATGCCTCAGTAGGCTACAACAACCAGCTTTTGATCGCTGCTAGCAACGAGCTTCATTCATTTCTTGTTACGGTCCATGAACGCACAGTTGAACCCCACGAGGGCGCTGTCGCGTGTATTATTACTCTGGTGGTATTTTGTGATTTTGTTTCTCTGTTAATTATGATTGATTAAATTTGTATAATTTTTTTTTGTCATTCCCTCTAAATCTCCAGCCCATAGGTGTCGCTGACTCGATGACTGTCACAGTCTTTCGCGACTCCTTATCTATTGCTATGAATCTCTCGCTTGTATGAATTCTGATGTGTATATTTAATTTTTTACGATTGTCATTATACACGTTTGTCAATTTTTCGTGCTTTAAATTTTGTGTTAATTCTTGCATGATAGAAATAAATTATCTGAATCTGAATCTTAATATCCTTCCGGAAGAATAGCAAGAGTATAAAATTAGCAACACTGCAGCATATTCATGGTACCTGTATGACGAGTTGACGTTACAGTCTCAGGCAACTATTAGGATTGAAGACGGCTTGATGACATGGCAAACCTCGGCGTGTCGTCCGGTTTAGGGTATCAGTTCATGTCGTCTACCGGTACGTGGTTAGACAATTATTTGTATAAAATACATGGACTTAATTATTACCGGCATTAAGATACCGTATATCTCCACAAATGTGTCATAACTTACTCAGGTCAAAAACGGCAGCGTAGACTACCGGTAATCAGACAGTGCGTTGGAAAGTTGTCTTTCTCTCATCCATCAAAGCGATAGAATATTTTGCTTGTTCCTCATTTTTACCCAGCTCTATTCGAAGGTAGGAGATTAGGCCCGACGTTAATACTTAACTGCCATAAACCAATTTAATTACAGCGTACGTTTTTTTATTCAAATATATGGAATTTTGTACTTGCGTATAGTTGTTACCAGTTTTCTACTGGTAACCTTATGGTATAGATATGCTTATTTCGCCACCGTAACGAGATCATCGCGATTAATGATAGTCTACTGCCAATAACGTACTATACTAGAGCCTGGAATTTCTAGTAGCAGTACAATGCGGCCAATACTAATTACGCTAAAACTGTTCTTTTCCAAAAACGTGAATGACACAATCCTGGATGCACAGCCCATGCATAACAATTGTGTATTCAGAAAGGCATTACAATTCCAGCAATCAATAAGACTTTAGAATCAGCTAGGTGACTCGTGTAGCATTTCAAAAGATCAGAACTTGTTACTTCTGCTCTACAAAAAAAATGCCAGACCAGCTGGAACTGCACCTACCACATGATAGACAAATTACTGGACATGCGATGGGCTGCAATTAGCACATTAAGTGACCCGACTGTTACACAGCTGGGGAACTCCCAAATAATTGCACCAAAACCTCGGACTGGGAGCTCTTTCACAAAGTAAAAACGCTTCTAAAGCCATTCCCAGATGTCACCGATATACTTGGGGCTATGCATCCCTGTCCTCAAAATATCCTATTATAAAAGGCCTTAAAAGCACCCGAGAGTTGAACAAGATGAAGGCTGCTGGGTAAAAGATTTCCGCCTAAAGGTGGATGAAGAAATGGAGCAGAGATTTTCGTTCAATATTGGGGACATATCGCATAAAGCTGCTGCACTGGATACAAGATGTAAATTGAAAGGTTTAGGTCCTGTGGTCTCGAGTAGGGAAAAGTATTGCACTCATTTTTTCTTCATTTTAAGTTGGTCTCGTTCATAATACAATAAATGGTGATTTTTCCTATAAGGTGAAAAATGACATTGTGTATTACATTTACAGGTTAAATGTGCAGTGTGCACTAGAGCTGTACTTGGTAATGACACTCCAAAAGCAGACGAACTCATTCAGAAGCTGTGGCCGTATGGTTACAGTTATCAACTGTGGTAAAAATCCTCAAATCGGCACTTGACAGCGCCTAATCTGACTTTTTCAGCGATACTAAGTCAGTTCCAATGGGGGATGGAAGTAACAGATATTTTGCTATGAAAGTTTTCCCAGATACCAACGATTCATTGATGATGACCTACCGTGAAACTAATTGATGAGAATGATAAGTTTGCTTTCGATTCATCAAAAGGGTATTACTCATTTAATAACCACAACACATCAAGCGAGATATTTATTTTTTGTAGTGTTTGGGATCTTTTTTTTTTGCAGATTGTAATACTTGATAGATAGATCAGATTTGCAGGGGATAAAACCCAGTTACGGCCCAGAGACAGATTTATCGAAAGTGTGCAGAAAAAACAAGTATCCTTCTCAGGACGTGATGGCTACAACAGCGTATTTATTGCAATACAGTGAAACAGACAAAGAATTTAAAAATATTGATTTCGCTCGTTAATCAGATACTATGAACGATGATTTTTATGTGAAAAGATTAGCCAGTGACATGTATGGCAATTCAGATATGATCTGCCCCAGAAAGCTATTTTATCACTGTTCCAGAAAGCTATTTTATTTATTAAATCTCCTACTTAATCACAATTTTGCCAAACATATATTTCAATCTAGATTCTAGAATGACATCTTGCCAATAGTTTCGTCTCGCAGTCTCTCTGCAAAAATTTTATATATAGAGCAACCTCATTTACAATTTTGTCTAGGTTGCCCAGTTTAGGTCTTTTGATACAATTATTTAATGTTTTCTGTTGTATTTCTTTGCATCATATCCGTTCATTTCGGGCAAGTGTTCTTGGCAAAACAGTCAATTTATCACTAACATTACCCACTAATACTGTAAGCGTGGACACAATTAGGTTTTTTTCAATACAAGTGTATTGTGACCGTTCATTTGTTGGTGCATAGATTGAAGGCAATAATTTGTACAGGGACAGGACGCGTCTTCAGTTACCCTGTAAATCGGAGTCATAGTGGGAGACATTAGATTACGCATAAGTCACGCATTACCACAACCATGTCTCTCTGTTGCATACCAACTGTTCATACCAATACAGTAAACGGAGTCTGAGATCGATGTTTAAAATCCTTCGGAGTAAGCAGTGAAGAAGAAAATGGGAATATACAGAATCTTCCTAAGAAATGAATGCCAGAAGATGGCTTGAAATTGTAACCTGTGGCCCAAAATGTCCGATTGGATCGCCACATTATGAACGCTTAAAATGACGTGAAGAAGAATTCATTCAGTAATTTTTGGAGTGGGAGGTAATCTCTGTCAGCTGTCAAAAAAGTATCATTATATCTTCCAGACGGACTTGTATTTTAAATTTTATATAACGAGGTTTATAGCAAGATCAGGGGCCCCAGTCACAAAGCTTCGTTACCGGTTAACGTGTTAGTTAAGGCCGGTATACACGGCAGTAGTATAACTCACCGCACAGCGACTCTCCGCACTGTGCAGTGTGCACGGAACCACAGTTCTGCGCAGTGTACTGTGACGTGAGGTCAGGCGGGAAACGGACTTGTCCTTCGTCTTTTGTATTATTTCTGTTTTGGATATTTTGGGGATCGTTGCAAGATTAATTTTATTAAAATGGGTATCGTATCGCGAAGAAGAATAAGTCGTTTTCGGTCACGGCGCTCGACATCAGCTGAAGTTATTGTTTGTGGTTCTCTGTATTAGATTAAAAGAGGATGAGCGCTGTGTCGGCAAGAGATTGTGGATGCACCCAATACTTTGCAGACGAAAGGAACATGGAAATTTTTTTTTACAATACACTAAATGCATACGTCTCAGTCTCACGAAGCCTATACTCACCTTCTTTGCCTCTAATTTCAGGAGAATACTACAGATTGGTTAGGGAGATGAGAATGGAAAGAGAAGCCTATTTTAAACAGTACTTCCACATGACACCATCTACATTTGACCGTCTTTTGAATATGATAGAGAGCAAGATTGTGAAACAAACTACAAATATGCGTGAACCAATTCCGCCTGAGGAACGACTTGCAGTCACTTTGAGGTATTTTGAAATAGGGTTTTAACCCACAGTATGAGTGAAATCGTGATTGATTGATTAAAATATAAATGAACAGTACCTAACGTTAGTCTACATATGGTAGTTTATCGCTAAATACAACATATATTTTTCAGATATTTGGTGACGGGGGATTCATATCAGACCATCGGATTCTCTTACAGGATTCATAAAACGACCATATCGCGAATTATTCCAGAAACCTGCGCTGCAATATGGGATTCCCTGCAGCCTGTGTTCATGGCAGTCCCAAGTGAAAATCAGTGGAAGATTATTGCAAACGATTTTAAACAATTATGGCAATTTCCAAACTGTGTTGGAAGTATTGATGGGAAACATGTTGTCATACAAGCTCCTGCAAACAGTGGTTCATCATTTTTCAACTATAAAAAAACTTTCAGTCTGGTACTGCTTGCAGTTTCAGACGCAAAGTACAGATTTATTTACGTGGATGTTGGAGCGTATGGACGGCAGAGTGATGAGAATGTTTTTGCTTCATCATCTTTTGGAAAAAACTCCTGGATGGTTCATTAGACCTGCCAAAAAGCACCATATTGGAAGGGATGATGGAGCCACTACCACACGTTTTTCTTGGTGACGAGGCTTTTCCCTTAAAAACCAATTTGATGCGTCCTTTTCCAGGTACCGGATTATCAAGAAGGTCCCGTATTTTCAACTATCGCCTCTCGAGAGCTCGCAGGGTTGTGGAGAATGCCTTTGGCATTATGGTATCTCGATTCAGAATTTTCCGCAGGCCTATATGCGTATCACCAGCCAGAACAGACCATATCATTAAAGCATGCACAGTCCTTCACAACTTTCTTAGATATGATTCTAATTATTTTGAGGCGGATTTCGTAGATCACGAGGTCAGTGAAGGTGCAGTGCAGTGGAAGGCCGAAGAAAATTCAGCAATGTTAAATATCAGGAATATTGGAAGGCTGAGTGCGAAGGAGGCAGTAAAAGTTAGAGAACAATTCAGCGAATATTTTGTTAGTGAGAAAGGGGCACTGCCATGGCAGGATAAATATGTGTTCTCGAGTGGTCGAAATATGATCTAAATGCACTATCCCCCCTATCATTTTTTGGTTTTATTGCTTCGTTTCACCTTTTCTGAATAAAAAAAATTTTGCTTCCGACTTGGTTAGCGGAATCTTTCAACTTTTTTTTTTATATATGTTGCCGCAGTGGAGATAATAGCAACTACGAGGGTAAATCACCAGACTGGTTGACATTTTAGGTACACTATTGGGTTAGCACTTACAGGGATGTACGAAAGCTACTGAGCAATGATATCTAGTTGGCAAGATTTAAAACAAAAAAAATATTCAGGAAAATTTATATTTAGGTAATATCAATAGTTTATTCAATAGAGTATTTAATTTCATTAATGAGATTCATGACTCCAACTTTGAACCTCCATCTTTTTTCTACACTCATCGTCTTAACCTCGTGAGCCATGCTCAACAAGAAGAGTTCATCAGGATCTTCCTGTATTTTCTCTAAAAACAAGAAACATTTATATATATATATAATTTTGGTTTGATACGTACCAGTAAGTAGATATTTTTTTGAGTGATCTGAAGCATAAATATTTCACCAAAAATTATTTACACAAATGAGAAAATCAACAATTTAAACTAAAATAATGTAGGTGTCATGGTACTCGTGTAGTACGTGAATCAAGATGCCAGACATCGGAACATAGTATGTGTACCAGGTTAAGGTTCAACCCTAATTTCAGATACAAATACTACAGAAGGCACTTGGCTAGAATTCAAATTCTTAACAGAACTAAAATAAGGGAAATTGGAATAAAATTATGTCCCAACCTGATACACACACTACGTTCAAAGCGTCCGCCATCTTGGTTAACATCGTACGGGAGCGCCAATTTTTTTGAAATAGCGACTCAAGATGGTTTCCAGGCATCCAAGTTATGAACCGCGATTCACTTTATAAGAATCACTGCTCGACTTGACTTACCTGATGACTGCTGCAATTTTTCTAACACAGCACTGAGGTCATCCCGGCTGCTTTTACGCTTTTCTGCCACAGGTGGTTGAAATTGGTCTGTTTCATCTGCTAAAAAAAGAATGGCATATTCGATCATATAATAGTATAGAATTCAAAAGCATTTTTTCAGAAAAGCGAATACAACTTATTTATTGCAACAGTGCATGATATTAGGGTATTTCATAATACAGTATTATACGTCTGACAATTAAAATTTATAAAATATTTTAAAATCATATTTTGGTGCTTACCTGATACCGCTTCCAATGTAACATCAACATCACTCGAAGATGGTGTATCCGGCATTGGCAGGTTTGATGTTGTACTGTAAATGTTTGTGCAGAAAGACGTTATCTTGTACTTACATTTACAGTGCCTAATTTTGGTCACTTTATACAAAAGAATGTTCTGAGCTACCTAAGTACTGATGCCTAAATTACACAGACATACTGTATAATAAGTTTAGGATTCTGAACATAGCTATGAGAAAGAACACAGATGTTAAATATGTATAAAATGTCCAAATCTATTCAACATCAATTTTGTTCGAAATATGTTCAACTATAATTTTTTACATTTCCTAATTCTTTGCCTCATATTTTTTAATATGAAATCTAATTTGGAAATTGATAAAGATACCATACTCAAAAATAAAATTTTTGTATAAACTTCGAATAGTACATTATTCAGTGTTGGTACCCTGAAAGTTACCTTTATGCATATCCTGGTCAACTACAAAACACGATTCTGGTCAAAACTAACAGCCTTTCCTTGGTAAAAGCTTTATTATCAAAAGATACACTGACAATATGTAGAAAATGCAGGCTCCTTGTTCAAACACCCATCTCCTCATGGCTGTAAACGGTTCAAGGAACTCTAAGGATCTCATAAGGCTCCACTCAACCCGATGACTTGCCGCCGCACCAGATTTCAATTCTGCCCTTTCCCTCCTATATTTATCTCGAAGGTTTTTCCACTTATTCTCGCATTCTTGCCCTTTACAGAATATGAAACTAGTTCTTTGTAGCAAAACATAGCACTTTCTTTAAAGGCGATTCAACTGAATTAACCAATACCGATACCTCGTAATCTAGTCATCATTTAGCTTATTTACATCGATTAGGCTACTATCATTTTCAGCAGTATAAAACAATTCATTTGCTGCAAAATAGGACTAGTTCCTGACAAGCCATAGGCCAAGTCTAAAAAAATTAACTACACTAATCAGACTACTTACATGGCATACCCATCTCTCGAGCTATCTCTGCCCAAGCATTGCCTTTGAAATCCTTTCGGCGGTACGAGTCCTGTGTGGTATTATACAGGCAAGGATATTCCTCAACTAGAGCAATGAGTTTTTCCTCCATATTAAATTAAAACTGACTACCGCACCTATTCAATTGCTGAAAAAAATCCAAATTGGTGAAAGCTCGATGATTTGAATACCTGTAGTCTAACGATATTGTCAGATTGTGGTAAACCATAAGAACACACTACCCAGCACAAAATTAATTACCATGGGCGGATAGGTACCGGTACCATGTCCGAACCCGCAGGTACTACTACTATCTACAGATGATACAAATCGCTCTAGTAATTCTGAACTTCTACACTCTGAAGCCTATAGTTATAAAAGCCAACTCGAAAACCAGGAAAATAGTTCAAAACTTTCACTTATCACATGAAAAACAACCAGTTTCCCTTCGGAAACCACCAAGACGAGCGGAGCAAGACTGTCAGTACGGCGAACTGCGTTCAGAATACGCTACTCGAGCGTTCGCCAACGTAGATAAACTCAGCGCAGACCACCGCAGACGAATAAAATAAAACAAACAAAGAAAATACGGTGCGGTGAGTTTGCACACTGTCGTGTATACCGGCCTTTAAGCACCGACTTCCTCGTGAAAAGCAAAAATGGTATTCACAGAGCTTCGTAAATATTCGAGAGAATTTTTTTGTGCCAAATGAGACGTCTCGTAAAGTGCCTTCTTCTCATATTTTACCGAGAATCGGTATTAACGAAAGTTCTTTAACGCGCTGAAGAGCTCGCTAGCTTTCGCCTCGTTAACAGTTCGGATTGCTCTCAGCAGTGATTCAAATTGAAATAGGCTCGTTGAGACGTTAGCATACTTTGTAAAAATTGGCATAGTATCAAAAGGCCTTACTCGGGTAAGCGTGTATGTAGTCTAGTGCCGTTAACTTAGCTGTGGGATATCTGCCGCATTTACAGATTAAACTAGGGTTGAGATTGTTGTGTTTTTGTTTATTCTAGCATTGACCTACAGTATTATAAACACAGATTCGCAAATGGCTACCTATATTGAAGCTTGCAGAAGAAAAGCCCAACAATCTCTCCATGTCGTATCCGGAAGAAAAAAATCCGCTAGATGCAAGTGAGAGGACCATAGACTCAATGAAAAATTGAAAATATGGATTCTTAACAAGCTTTGGCAACTCACTGATTTTATTGTCTGTTACACAAATAGTTCACAATATGTAATTTGTTTTGTGGTAATAAATCTCTCTCTCTGTAACTTCAGCATTTATTCCATATAGCCTATCCGTCAGTCTATAGATTACGCCACTGCAATATGAACAAAATTTCAAAACGCAGGCTGCAAAGGTGAAGCAGAGAAAGACGATAGGTTACCGCGAAGGCGAAACGCGCTCGTTCGTAAGCGGCGACAACTGATACGGCTGAGTGATCAGTCAGTGCATTTTGTTCAACCGCGACCGTGCGTAAGATTTCGAGAGAATGCTTAGTGACCGTGCGTCAAGTGCTTAGGAGGTCTTTGGTGAATCGCATTTAACGAGATTTCGCTATCACGATTCTGAGAGACACAGTTACGAGATCGTAAACCCGTCTTTTTACGAAGTTTAGCTAATGGCGCCCCAGGAAAGAAGAATTTTAGCAAGGCCAGACTGCTATTCACAACCAAAAACATTATTAAACTCTCCAACAAAATGGAAAATGTTTGTTGGAGAATTTCACAACGCAAGATGTGCTTGAGGCTGTTCTTGGTGATCGCGTACAGGGTTGCCAGACCCCAGCGATAAGAAAAAAGCCAAATCAAGACATAAAAAAGCCAACAATTTTACTAAGTACAAAAGCCCCATGATTTGTCAGATTTTAAGCGCTTGGCAACGTACTGATGATGATGTAGAGCCATCAGTTCATTCGGTGAGGCACACAAATAGAAAGTCAGGTTCCCATAGAACTGTAGAAAGTAAAATAAATATCAAGCGGACAGCATCATTTTACCATTCAATATATACAATACAGGGTGCCGCCTCAGTCTGTCAGTATGTAATATTGGTAATTTTGACTTAAAAAAGCCAATATGGCAACTGTGATCGCGTAAGTCACTTTTGTACGAGCACTTCTCTTTTACAGCGTAATATGGGAAAGAATGAATATAAGAAGAGTGAAGTGAGGGAATACAACGTTTGGTGCTCAAAATCCCTAGCATTCTGTAAACCAAATCTTTAAATTCGAAATAAAACCAAGAAATTGATCCATAACGATCAGCCGTAAAAATGGCGAGACAATGCTTATTTTCACCCATTTGTTAAAGGTATCGGTGCTGGCAGATCAGATTTCAAGTATAATTGTTGTATTTATAATTACCTCGGATCTTAATATCGTGGCATTTTATTTCCTCTGCTGATTTATCCTTCAATTTTCAAAATCACCTTCATTCAATAATTTTTTCATAATTTTATTTTATATATTTTAACTTTTTATAGAGACATTTGGGACACAGTACAACCTGCGGTTCTGAAATGTCCATCAACCCAGAATGCGTGCACGACCATTGCCAACGAGTTCGAAGTGAGGTGGCAATTACCGAATTGTTGGGACATACATGTCACCATTCAAGCCCCAAACAATTCGGAATTTATGTTATTCAACTACAAGAGGTCACGACACATAGCTTCTGATGGCAATGGCGGATGCAAATTGTAAATAATCAAATTGTTACTTGTTATATGCACCCTTACCAAAAATGGCATAAATATTTACTCTTTCATTTATCAATTTTTGGCAGTCGATGTTGGAGGATATGGAAGGAGTAGTGAGTAAAATGTTTGACTTCGGAAAGGTTCGTCGTAGGTCAATTGCTATTTTACGGTAATTTTTTTCGCGTTGATTGATTCGAATCTGGGAACATTCCCTCTTTCGAAGCACTCCATAGAAAAAATCTGTGGTTGTTCATGACGAGATGCAGGAACTCCAATAACATTCTATTACAATCATGATTTGATTCCCAGATACTGTTTGTTACGGGCTATCTTAGACTCCATACCTCACTTTTGGTCCCTTAAATTGCTATATTATAACTCTTTTTTGAGACTTACTGTGAATCTGATTGTCATATCAGGTATTTTATGTATTTAGTGCGTTATTTTTGTTTTGCTTATGTTTATTTGTTGTGTTGTTTTTATATGGACCACAGTGGTCTGGAGTAATAAACGAATTGAATACTGGAATACCGGTATATAATAATACCTGTACACTAATGCGCCAGAAACCAGTTTGTGTCCGTGTGCAACGGTCAGGTATTTCATTGTCAGCACTTTTTACCAGCCCTCAGACAATGATTATTTAGGTATTTTTATGTTCCAGCTCGAGGTATACCGGTACGGTGCGCTGGGTTTAGGTTTACCTGTTAGAAACATTGGACTGCTAGATGTGCGGCCAGACAGAGGCTGCCTACCAGATAGTTCCTGGGCAGCAATAGTTTGGGAATATTTTTCTCGTCCATGAAAGGAGGGGTTTACATAGATAGTTTGCAATTTTTGTAAAGAAAAGTTGTCATATCAGCAGTATACTGACAATCTCAGAAAGCATGCATTATTCGTTAACACTGACTTTTCCTTATCTACTATTAAAGTACATCAAAGTAAGTCAAAAAAAATTTTAAATCAAAGAGCTCAATCCTAATCAGCACTGGTATTATCCGGATGTAAGAAAGAAAATGAATAGTTTGTTAAATTAATATACTGATAGGACTGAACAGATAAACCAGTAATTGGAAATCATTTTTTTTTTAATGTAAGTAGAAGCTGATACAAAATTTAGAATTGTTGAAGTTGTAATTTTGAGGACAGTTTTATGATTTACGAGCTAATAGCCAGGTCAGGCATCAGAAACAATTATTCACCATTTTTTTTTTTTATTTTGTACCCATCAAGCAGATAATACCAAGCCAGCAAAAAGTCATTGCATGTAAATGATTAATTATCAGCTGTTTATTTAAGAGACCAGTCGAGTGAATGGAGGTAGTGAGAGGCCTTCAAAACAAAAAAGAACTTTGAACTAGAAGACAAAGACATGAACATATTGATAAATTAATAGTCAACTTTATAGGGAATATGAGGCCAATTAATATGGTAGAGAACATTCTAGATATTTAGTATCAAACCTTGCGCCGGGATGCGAGGTGGCAAGAACACGTTTACTGGGAAACAAACTGAGAGTACATATTCACAATGCAAAACTCGATGATATTTTAAAACGGCAAAATGTAATATTAATCACTACTGATACATGGACGAGCATCTAGATGGAACCATACGTAACAGTTCGAAATAACAGGTGAACTACAAAACTATGTCTTGTCTACAATACAGATAGTGGGGAACAAACTAGCTGAAACTTAAAAACTTACATCTTAATGTGCTGAATGATTATCCGTTCTCATTCCTCTGTATTTGTAATAGTTGCGGACAAGGGGGTAAAGGATGTGTCCGCGTGTAAAATTTTAAAAACTGCACATGGCAGTCATCACATTCGTTGCGCCAGATACACTTTACAGCTACCTATCAAAGATGCCATCAAAAGTTAAGAAATAGCAAGAGCGCTAGGTAAGTGAGGCTGTATTTGTTTGCCAAACAAGGAGACAGACGGACAAATCTATGTGATACCTACAAACGGATAGTTTAAAATTATATGTTTATTGCATAAAACATGTATTGTCAGCATGTTCATTGGATGAATACAATTTTAAAATTCAGATGTGGAACGGCAGTCAGCGCAACACCTCAGAAGGCATAACAATGCCTTGCGACGTCATCTTCAACGGCAGTCAGTGCAACACCTCAGAAGACCATCAAAAGGCATAACAATGCCTTGCGACGTCATCTTCAATCTGCAGGCAATGAATTCAAGAACATCGAAATGCCAATAGATGCTTCGTCCCACTAGGATTCAACATTTTTCATGATATAAAGTCTTGTAAAAAAGCAGCGGTTCATTCGTTCGGTACTAGCTTATCCGACCATTGTCCTACGACCGACGTCCATGAATCTTGAATTGAAGGATAACCACTGAAGCTGGCTATTTCTTAGACGTTGCGGAGCACCCATATAGTCAGCCACTAGTAAGTATTTTTGAAGCAAGCAAGTTCTGCAATTTCAGCAGTTATAAAATGACCGGTACGTTATTCTGCGTGTTCTACAATACTCTAAAATGGTAAAATTCACATTATTGCAAGCTGCTATTGCAGAAACTGATGCAAAAAGAACACCAAATACTTCAGGACCAACGAAAAACGACCCGATAACAAGTGCCCAGATAAGCTCGGAATCGTTGCTAAGACGTTGCGATGGGTTCACCTTGTCGATTAATCAGAGGAGAGTTGGTCAAGCAAATTCGAAGAAATCTGTAACAGGGTAGTACCGGTAATCCTTGTTGCAGAAGTCTCGTACAGTACAATTTTTTAGTAGTTTAGTCCTAGATAGACTATTTTAGGATCTGGGTTATATCAGTATCAGGTTGTATCATTTGCTGTATATATACGGCATAGCCTTATCAGCCGTTGCGTTGTTTTTAAGACTAGACCTCTGTTACGTGCAGCGTTTTTTTTTTTTTTTTGTA